AGGGTTAGAAATGAACTCTATCTTTAAGAGGAAGTGGTGGCCTTAGGAATACAATGCCCCTTGATTATCTAAATAAATCTTGCATTAATTTTCTTGGAAAAACTGTAATCCAAAAATGGCTAGTAGCCACCATGAGGGTCTGAAACCATTTGGCTAGACATTTTAAACTGCCATGGTGGAAAGATAAATGGACAACTCTTCAGAGAAATCAACAATATCCAGTCAGGCTAAACCAACTGACAATAAAAGAACACACACACACACACACACACACACACACACACACACACACACAAACTAAGCTTCCAAAACACTGCAAATCCCCCCAAAACCAAAGATAAAGATAATACTGGGGACTTTGAGATCCAGGCTTTCTACAGAAGACTACTGAGGTCAGGCAAGAGCCATCAAGGAAATGTTCTACCGAACCATGATCAATGTGACCAGCAACATACTTCTTGCTGAATGGATCTGGCGTAGAATTTAAGCCTTGCTGGAGTAATAACAAGCTGACCTTGCAATACGGTTTTCATTCTATTATGGAATTAGCCAGTATTTTTGCTTTTTATACATAGTATTAAATTCTATTTATGATTTATTAAGTTTTATTTATAAGATTTATAGACATTGATATAACTTTTCTCATTGATATAACACTTTAATTAACCCCACCAAGAAAGAGGGCTGTGCCATGGAAACAGTATGAGTTCAGTCATCTGTTCCTGATAGTCTGCTGTTCTTATCTACAGTTTAAAAAGCCTTGATTTTCTATTTCTGTTTTATTTTCTAGTTTATTTTATGTGTCTTGTTCTATGCTCCATGAATCAAACTAAAGCAAAGTAAAACAACAACAACAACAACAACAACAACAACAAACCAGATGGATAGGTGAATAATGCTTGGTTAATGGTTGATTTATGTACTGAATCACAGGAAACATCAACCTATCATTAAAGAATGTCTCATCATACGTTCCTCCATGGATATACACATATATGCACAAATAAATTGCATATTGTCTGTAGGAATGCATGTTTACAGGACAATCCAAATAACAAAGACCAATCTTTGTTATGCACTCACTGTCTTCATTATTTAACAGAGTCACTTTATATGGCATTATTTTAATTCACCCACAGAATGATGTACAAAATAGGTGCAATTGTAGCATCTCCCTTTTACCTTAAAGCAAAACCAAGACCTACAAAGGATAAGTAACTTGCCCTACATTACAAAGGGGGTGAGTCTCAGAGCCAGGATTTGAACTTGACTTCTCTGACTCTCTGTGTATACCCCAGGATGTGGGCAAAATTATTCATCGGTTTATGGGGAGGAAATAGTAGGGCTTATATAGATTTTATATAAAATATGAAAAAAATTAGCCTTCATGAAGACTTAATGTACAGGCTGATATCAGAACTTACCATACCCTGGTGTGCATACTGGATACATCATGTCATGAACTGGGAGTGTCTTGAGGGGTCAGTGAGAGTCTTAAAAACACAGACTCTTAGAGAGTCTCTGGTGAGAAAGAATTCAGGATAATCCAGTTTGGTTTTTACAAAATAAAAAAAAAAATCTATAATAACATCTGAAAGCCTCTTTTCACATACTATGAGGAATACTTCTAATTTGAGCCACAGTTAAAAAAAGGCTAAATAACAGATGATAATATTGTGACAAGCTGAATTGTATTTTGTTATAAGCACCTTTGAAGATACGTATTAAAACACTGTTAAAAAAAAAAGGAAAAAAAAACACTGTTGAAGATTTAAAGAAACAAGTATCAAAATTAATTAGACCGTGTAGAAAGTTTACTACACAGTTGAAAGTCAGTAGGTTGTTTTTAACTCCTCTCAGCTTGTGGTTATTTGCTACGTTCCTTCTTCCTGATTTCCAAAGTTTATTAAAAATCAAAGACTAGAAAACCTTTCCATGAAAATAGGTCATTTTTTTGTTTCTACATATTGCAAACACACACACAGACACACACACACAAAGATACAAACATACACATCAAGATGATTGTCATTGTTTAGCTCATCCTGGAGTGTGTGACCCCAGTCGTGGTCAGGCTGATTCACTCAGGTCACCGTGATGGGGATGGAGCATGGCACCTGTGTCTGTGCACTGAGTTTTAAATCACACCCCCCAGGACACTCGCCCCACAGTGTTTCCTTAATGTAGGGTGACAGTCAACATTGCTAATGTGTGGAGAGCAGTACAGGCCTATGTACTAGTTTTTATAAATACTTCTTGATCAACAGATTAACAATTTTAAGTATCTTTAAATATTTTTGATAACTTCAATCACCAGAACTGCAGACAACAATGGGCTACTCTATTCCAGATACGTTGTCTTTTAATAACCAAATACACAAATATGCAGCTTTCTTCTTCTTATTGTTAAACATGAAAAGAAACAGATGTCAGGAAAGATAAGTTCTTGGTAGCAAGTGGCACTCTAAAAAACTAAAGCAAGGTTCTATGAAGGATTTAAATAACCAGCAATGAAGGAGGTACAGTCACAAAAAGTATTTAAAAGGATTCCAAAGAAAAAAATAAAAGCTAGCAAGAAATACAAGGAAAGCCTGGAACAACCTTTTATACTAGAAAGCCTGGCTAATGTTTACAAGGGGAGTCATTGCACTATTTTTTTTTTTTACTTCATACACTTGAAATTTCTTAGAATTCAAAAGGTTTAAAATTTAAAAATAAGTGAGAAATAAACTGACTTTTAAAAGTGTCTTGAGTGTGAGAAGATATGAAGATGGATATTTAGAAATGTTTCCATGCTATATGGTTTTGTGAAAAAGAGAGTTTATCAGTACAAAACTACCACATGAAAAACATTAAAAACAGAATCTTTCGATCTACAAGTAAATGTTACACTAACTTTTAAATGCTTTTGTTAAAAATATAAAAGCACAACGCCCTCCTGTGAGTTTTCCTTAACAATATGTTGACACATATATTATGTGAATCTTAATTAAAAACATTGCATTATTGGCAGATGTGATTGAAAAACAAGTGTCAGAATTTACAAAGTCAACAATGCAATTAGCTTCTTCCATTTGGAAATGTCAAATAATTTTGAGGTATATTTTTCAGCTTTGATCAACATTAAAACTAGTATTACAAATAAGTATCACAAGTAAGTACTGAAATGAATTAAACTTAAAGCCTGACCATTGAATCAAGGAATCACATAGTTTCAAGCCACAATTCTCAATAGTGAAGCATATTTACTTACATTGCAATCATTAAGTATATATATTTATAATGAGGTAGGGACCCCTATCTCACTCCATATATAAAACAATAATTAAAATGTATCAACGACCTAAGAGTAAGAGGTAGTCTATTAGAGGAAAACATGCGGTAATTCTTCATGACCTCGGGTTTGACAACACAGTCTCACCTTTGAAACCAAAGCATAAGCAACAAAAAAGAGATTAATTGGACCCCATCAAAATTAAACACTTCTCTGTATTAAAGGACATTATCATGAAAGTAAAAAGACAACCTACAGAATAGGAAAAGTGCTTGCAAATCATGTATCTGATAAGTGTCTAGTATCCAGAATACATAAAGAATTCTTATACCTCAACAACAAGATAAATAACCCAATTAAAAAACAGGTAAAGACCTGAAGTGATAGTCCTCCAAACAGGTAACACAAATGGCAAGTTAGCATGTAAGCTAACAGTCAACATCACTGGTCATTAGGGAAATGCAGATTAAAACCACAATGACATGCAACTTCCAAGTTAATAGGATGGCTATTAAAAACCAAACAGAACAAAACAGGAAAATAACAAGTGTTGGAGAGGATATAAAGAAATAAAAACCCCTATAAGTTACTGGTACGAATGCAAAACAGTACAGCAGCTACGGAAAATAGTTTGGTAGTTCCTCAAAAGGCTAAACATGGCATTATCACATGACCCAGCAATCGCACTCCTCAGTATACATCTAAGAGAAATGAAAACATATCTCTGCTGAAACAAGTACACAAATGTTTACAGCAGATTATGCCTAATAGCGAAAAGGTGGAAACAACACAAATGTCCATCAATGAATAAATGGAGAAGCAGATCATGGTATGGCTCTATAAAGGAATATTACTCAGTCATAAAAAGGCATAAAGGTATATGCCGTGACTTGGATGAACTTATTTGAGGTGAAACGAGGACACAAAAGGTAACATATTCTAAGATTTCTCTTATAGGAAGTATCTAGAATTGGTAAATATGTAGAGGCAGACCATAGTGGTTGCCAGGAAATGGGGGCAAGGGGAAATTGGGCGGGATTATTAATGGATGTGGGGTAACAACATTTTTCTGGGGTAATGAAAAAGTTTTGAAACTAGACAGAGGTGATCGTTATTGCATAACATCATGAAAGCATGAAATTCCACTGAATCGTATACTTTAAGTGGTTAGTTGTATGTTAGGTGAATTTCACCTCAATTAAAAAAAAACACATGTAACAACAGTAGTTTAATACAATTAAAGAATGCTCTGCAATGTTGAAAGATGAAACAATTTAAATCTTAAATATTTCAGCTTTCATCTCCTTTATTTTTTAATATACATTCTTTGATACACCTGTGTATGTGCTCACAATTTTTACGAATAAGGGTACCAATTTAGAAATGTGACTAGTGCTGCTCTAGATCCAGGGTAATCTAGAGCTTGCGGTGTAAATCCACAGACATACTTTGTGTACATTGGCTGAATAATATTTTACAATTTGTTTCCCATACTTCTGTGCAGATGATGCATTTTCTAGGCCAACATAATTCCTTCCTACCTTAGGGTTTTATATTTTTTCGTGATCCAAACGTTGTTTCGTGCACAACCGGGATCAGATAGATATTTGACTTTTCAACCCTTCAGCCTGGGATTGGATTTATTGGAGATGGTTTTGCATCCACAACCCTTCCATTCTTAATTAGCATTAAAAATGGAGCAGAAAAAAAAAAGTGCCAGACTTACCCACACAAGGCAGAGAGTAGCCGAGCTGAGGGTCAGGGATGAACTGCCGGTCATTCAGTCTTGTCACACAATATAAGTAGAAACAATCTAAGCAAATCACGTGGCGGTGGTTGCACTGGAAAACCAGGACAGGGCTCCTGCGGAGGAAAAGACAGACATTTCCTCTAGTATTTCTGAGGGTGGAAAGGCAGCAGGTGTTCGGCACACTTTGCCATGGTGCCGGGTGGCTTACGGCGTGCTCTGCTCCGTGTAAAGACCTGCACTGCTCAGCACTGAGCACAGACCGATCAAAGCTACATCTTAAACACTGGATGTACTTCATTAACTATCTAAAACAGTGATTTTCCTAAATTTAAATTTTTTAATATAACATATTTACCAATTAGCTGTTTAAACCCGAGCTCAGATATACCTCTTTACAGAAGTCTTCTAGAAGCCTCAGAATTTGCAGTTGACCCACAAATCACCCCAGACATTTGCATGTATTTTTACCAATCCATAATTACATCACCGTATTGGTGACTCTGCTCTTATTTCTGCGCGTATTTCTGCTCTTACGGACTGTGAGCTCGTTGAAAGTGGATACTGTGCTTACTTAACATTGATATTCTTGTAGTGCCAGGCATTGTAAGGTTTGAAATAAATGTTCCTTGAATTTAATTTTAATGATATATAAAATATGAACTTCCCTAAAGCCATAAGAAAAACTATTGTTGTAACAAAATAGGTATGTTCAACAGTCACTCATATTTCATTGGCAAGCAGAAAAGTAGAATTCCAAAATAGAAATTATCTACCACAGATTCATTTCTTTAAGATTTTTGTCTATTGTGTCACTCCTCCACCCAAATACCCAATTTATTAAATTAAGGTTAGGAGCTTACTAACAAACTGATATATGTAAATTCTAAAAAATTTGCATTCCCTTAAAATGCTTTTTGTATGGAAAAAAATCCCCCCAAATAATCATGTATTTTTGCTTGCAACTGGACCACATGATTTTATGACCAAACAAAGAGACAAATGGAATATATTAATTCCACATTAGCCTCAAGGCCATTTTAATAGCAAGAGAATCATTAGAGCTTATCACATTAAACCTATTCTCAATATAATGACAACAAAATACAAAATGTTTTTTTTTATTTCATACACAATTCTTAACACATGGAAGAGCTCTTCAAAAGCCCTCCTCCCAAAAAACACATGATATTTAACATTACTATTAGAATATAATTTCTTAACAATTAAAAGGTTTCCAAAATTCTGCTTTCCTACTTATTTCAAAGCAATATCTAATACAAAACAAAGTGAAAAAAAAAACAACTTGGTATTTTAATGGCACAGGTCTACAGGGCAATGGTCAACTTAAGCTGAGTTAGAGCGTCCATAAATGTTTTTATGTGCTTCTATTTCTCATCTCTGAACCCACTGATGTCCTTTCAGGGCCATCATTCCCATTTCCAGAGCCTTTTTCAATTAGACATTGACTGTGTTCTGAACTTTCAACCCCTTCCCTTCTAATAACGTTCTGCTTGAAGACGATAAAACATAACACTCTCCCATTTCTATCGAGAGTCATACGCACACACATGCACAAGAACCCACATACCTTATTCACTCTGGGTGACGCTACTGAACTGCCACATTCTACCTCCTCCTCACAGCTAAGTTCTGCAAAAAATACTCCCCATTCTGCTTTCAGCAACATGGTTGACTAAGCCCTTAGAGATTCCTAAGCTGCTATCAATGCAAGGAAACACTGGAGAAAATATTAGAACATTTATAAAAATGTTCCTATATGCAACAAGGTTAAAAAGAAAGCTTAGCAATTGCCTTGCTGAAGGAAGAAAAAGAAAACTTATAAAGTCAAAGCAGTCAGCCCAGGAACTACTGCCATGGTGTCCCGGAGAGACATGAAGGGACGTGGTCAATGTGCAGCCACTCGCCCAGCAAGTGTGTTCTTGCCCATCTCTCTTAAGGAAAAATGGAAGGGAGTTCTCTTTCATGTATGGACAACACTACACGTTCATGGTTTTGCCCTTCAGTTAAAATATGATCCAGAAGAACCTTAGACCATGAAGACGACTGACAGAACATCAATGGTTCTACTCTACTGATGGCATCCTACTATTTAGAACAGATCACAAAGAAATGGTAATTACACGAGAGGCCACGGTGTGAGGGAAAGTCTATGTGGATCCAGGGGCCCACCACAGTAGGAAAGGTCCGAGAGACCCCATCTATGGGGTGTGGAGGGACACACTCAACAAAGTAAAGGACACATTAGTCCATCTGCCCCTCCTTCTACTACACACACACACACACACACACACACACACACACACACACCGATAGAAGTGATCACAGGCCCTGTGGAAACACAGGCTCTGGTTCCCACATAGAGGAGCACGTCCTCGTGGGGACTCAGGAGGAACCATACTGAACATTCCACTGCAGCCTCACCAGTCCACTTCCGCCTCCTGGAACTGAGATCTAGGTGGGAAGGAAACTGGTCAAGCTGCCAGGACTTCTTGGCTCTCATCATCAGGATGGCAAGAGCGGCTGCTGCACACGGGGGCAGGGGAGAAATCTCGTGGTATCTCGCTGGTCCACTGGGACAGTGGCCCTCCCCTCTGGGATTTTAATGGCAAACGGACAAGGCAGCGATGAAGCCAGCACTGAGAAGTGCAAGGTGACCAGGACCTGAGATCCCTTATGATTTACCCATTACAGCAGCTAACATCAATGACCCTTATTATTACAAAAAAATGTGAAACATCAGAAAGGGCTTTAGGGAAAGTTGACCTGGAACAAAAAGGAGCTGAAATGAACACCAAGGAACGGTGGTTTACCAAATAGCGAGACATGAAGGGCACAGGGCCCAAGAGATAAAAATGTGTTCAGCACTGGAAGGGAGGACAGAGGATCATGTTAAGTCCCTCGAAGGAGGGCTCCTTCCTAGACACAGGGCACGCCATGCAACCACAAGAAGCTAGAGTGTCAGTGACCAGAGAAGCCACATGCGTGTTTCTACATGACCGCTACGGAAAAGAAAGAAACTTACGAGCATCATACGGAGTTGCACATATAGATAAGTCACTCGGGAATTCTCACCATCCATCACTATCCCTATGCAGTGAATTTAAATATACACACACAAACCGATATGGAGAGATATAAAATAAAGATGGAGAAAAAATGCATATGTCGATGGACAGATTTGTTACAGATATAGATGTAGATAGTAGATGCATATATTCAGATAGAATTACCAGCCCGTTGGATTTCTTGAAACAGTTTTGAGATAAGATTACTCATCTCCTATTAAGAATATTTGTAGTATTTAGGAGAAAGTTGGGCGAGGGATAAGCATGACAACCCTAGAAACATTATTGGATTAATCATCTGAATCATCTGAGAAAATGAGAGAATCATTTCATGGCTGGAGGGACCACATAATTAACTTCCTAAGCACTAGGTAAGAAGAAGGAGGGAAAAACTAGGATTTATGATCACTGCTTTGGGTCAGGTACCTTGCTAGGAGCGTCACATAGGTTTTTCCATTGCAGCCTCCTAAAATAAAGTGCCCCCCCCACCAGCCCACATCCCGTTCCACTCTCTGCCTCCAGCTGGCTTCCCGTTCTTACTCCTGGGCTCAAACTCTGTCACCCAGACTTTAATACCATACCAGCCTTCACATCCAAATCAAAATTCCAAATATCCTGGTCCAGTTCAAGAGACGACCTCGGAGGAGTTTGGCCTGGAATTTGTCTCTCATAGGGTCTCTCCTAATGTGCTCCAAACACTGTCTTCGATTCTGTTCCTAGTGTCTCCTAAATGGCGCTCTTGGCTGTCAGCAGTAAATGAAAAGTCCCGAAGGGATGGAGGGAACACTCGATTAACACTTTCACGACCGAGGTCTCACCAGATTCAGCGGTGAGCGTGTGGCAATTATGTCATCAACAGACAATGACCACACCAGTGACCGAGGAACAAAACCTTCTCATTTCCTAACTTCTCTGCTCCCATCCTTGTATTTTTCACTCAGTTACTCATCGAGCATCTACTTGGGCTGAGGTAGGCGCTTAATAAACACACGTGGAACACAGCAGCATGGTAAGTGTTGTAAGTGTTGGGGAAACACAACACCGTCTGAGGCCCAAGTCCAGGACCCCCATGTGTGTGGAGCTGGTATCAAAAGGAGGTCTGTGTGGTCGTCAAACTCTGGCGCCACAGAAGTTAGGAGGACAGCAGACTAGTATGCATCAGGGTTAGGGAACCTGAGCTGAATTTAAGGGGATGGAAGGATCGACATGGGGTGCCTGGAGACAAACGTGGATTCTGGGCAGGGCAGGAAACATAGACGTGAGAAGGAATTCTTGGGACAGAAGAGCTGTCAGTTGGGCTGGCTGAGAGGATGTGTCTGGGAAAGAGAAGACGTGGACAGTTTTGTGGACAGTGGCAGGGGGATGCAAGGAGACAGGCCTCTAGGTCCTGGGACTCACTGAGGCTTCTGAGGATGGGAAGGGAGTGATGTTTTCGGAAGTTTGACTCTGAGGGACGTGTGGAGGAGAACAAATTGACAGGCGTGAGAACTATTTGGAGGTCATTTTAATAACTCAGGCATGAGTCACTCAGGAAGCACACTGGGGTGTGCCGATGGTTCTAGAAATGGGCAAGGAGTGATGTTTCCGAGGAAAACCTGCCAGGACTCCTCTTCTCTTGGGTCTTTGTCCCTCCCAACATTCCTCTGTTGCCCTTTGCTCAAATTACATATAAATGTTAACTGATCAGTCTAGCAGACGGTTTTACCCCAAGCGGCCAGGCTACCAAGCAGTTAATCAAAGGTTAAATAAAGTTCTCAATCATATGGAAAAGGAATTATAAATGCTGCACTTGACATTACGGAAGAGTTATTATTATTTTGTAAAGTCAAAACTTAGTATAATTCAGGTATTTCATAGAAACCATAATGTAGCAAACAGGGTAATATGAAAAAATGTTTTAAAACTGCAGGTCTGTACATGTGGCTCTGGTTCCATCTGGAGCAGGCTCTCCTCCATCAGGCACATCAGCTGCCCTTGACCAAAGCCTTCCTGCAGATGCAGCCCTGGGCACATGACTCTGCCCACGG